AAATCAGATCCAGTGACTCTCATACAATGGTAATGGAGAATGCAGATAATAGGATAGATGGTACAGAAACATACTGATATGCAACCGACCGAATCTCTTTGCCAGAGGCTGATCCCCCTCAGGGTAACTGTCTGCGGGGCGCTTCTTCCCGTGATTGATTTCCTCACCAGCATGTGCCATCAGCCACACAACCAGTGACCTTTATTTCCTTCCCCTTTCTTGGTGGATGAGGGAATTAGACCTGGTAATCGGATTATATATTAAATATGGTACTGCACATGACAGTGTGAATTTTCAAATTAAGTAAAACTGGATGTTACAACCGACGAGTCGCTTGATGCGTATTCATAGGTTCATAAAGGAGGGGGAACTGGCTTTGACTCATCTATCTTCACCTTTTAGGTCGCAACCCAGAACATTCTACCACCTTCACACTCCCCCACTCCCAAATATTCCGCTTGCAAGAACCATCACAAGACCATTCAGTATGGCTTCAGATAGTGATCCTAAGTTGGAATGGACCTCCAAACGAGTCCGTGATACGTTCCTTCAATATTTCAAGGAAAATGGCCACACTTTTGGTAAGTATTTTTTTTGAGACAGTTTCTCGGTCAGAACTGATTATAATTAAAAATGGCAGTTGCCTCGTCTCCCGTTGTTCCCCATTCTGATCCAACATTGTTATTTACGAATGCTGGAATGAATCAGTTCAAATCAATCTTTCTAGGAACGGTGGATCCTCACTCTGATTTCGCAAACCTGAAAAGTGCAGTCAACTCTCAAAAGGTCAGTACTTCAATCCTACTGGTTTCAGCTAGTTCTAACACAACCCGTAGTGCATTCGTGCTGGAGGAAAGCATAATGTAAGTGTAATGCGCATGGTCGCTACCAGAAAAAAAAAGGATTAAATCAAGAGACCTGAGCGTCTACTAATTCTTGCGAACGTAGGACCTCGACGACGTGGGCAAGGATAGCTATCATCATGTGAGGAAAGCCACCAAATCAATAATGGCTTTTATGATGCTAACACGGAAATGGTTACTAGACTTTCTTTGAAATGCTCGGGAACTGGAGTTTTGGGGACTATTTCAAAAAGGATGCGATTCGCTATTCCTGGGAATTGTTAACCAAGATTTACGGTTTAGATCCCAGACGTCTCTATGTTACCTATTTCGAAGGGAACAAGGAAGGTGGTCTAGAGCCAGATCTCGAGGCCAAAGATCTGTGGAAGGCCGTTGGCGTTCCGGAGGATCATATTCTCCCAGGCAACATGAAGGACAATTTCTGGGAGATGGGTGATCAAGGCCCATGTGGCCCTTGCAGCGAGATTCACTATGACCGAATCGGTGGACGTAATGCTGCCCATCTGGTCAATCAAGATGACCCAAATGTATTGGAAATTTGGAACAACGTCTTCATCCAATACAATCGTGAAACGGATCGATCCCTGCGGCCGTTGCCCAACAAGCATGTCGACACCGGAATGGGATTTGAGAGGTTGGTGTCTGTCTTGCAAAATAAGTCGTCAAACTACGATACAGATGTGTTCACTCCCATATTCCAGACCATTCGAGATGTTACCGGAGCTAGGGAATACCGTGGATGCTTCGGTAGTGATGACGCTGATGGTATTGATACTGCCTATCGTGTCATAGCGGATCATGTTCGGACCTTGATGTTTGCAATCTCAGACGGTGCGGTCCCAAATAATGATGGCCGCGGCTATGTCATTCGTCGTGTTCTCCGCAGGGGTGCTCGATATGCCAGAAAATACTTCGGTGTCGAGATTGGCAATTTCTTCTCAAAGATCGTCCCAACAGTCGTCGATCAACTGGGCGATATGTTTCCAGAACTGAGAAGGAAACAACCCGACGTTATGGAAATCTTAGACGAAGAAGAGATGTCATTTGCTAAGACTCTGGATCGCGGCGAGCGGCAATTTGAGCATTATGCCCAGCAGGCTAAGGCGAAGGGGGCTGATAAATTGCACGGCGCCGATGTCTGGAGGCTCTATGACACGTTCGGATTCCCGGTTGACCTTACTCGTATAATGGCAGAAGAACGGGGATTACAGATCGATGACCGAGAGTTCGAGGAAGCGCGTTCGCGAGCGAAAGAAGCAAGCAGAGGCCAGAAGAAAACTTCCGCTGAAACAGTGAAGTTGGACGTTCATGATCTGGGCAAGCTCGAAGCCATGAACGACGTCCCCAAGACTGATGATACTGCTAAGTTTGGAAAGGGTAATATTACCGCCCAAGTAAAGGCCATATACCACGGCAAGACGTTCCACTCATCTACGGACGAGGTGCCCGACGGCGAGCAACTTGGAATTATTCTTGACCGGACGAACTTCTACGCTGAACAGGGTGGACAAGAGAATGACACGGGTAAAATTGTTATCGATGGACAATCCGAGCTTGAAGTAGGTGATGTTCAGCTTTATGCTGGATACGTCCTGCATACTGGTTTCATGAAATATGGCTCCTTTTCGGTAGGTGATACTGTCATCTGCGAATATGATGAACTGCGTCGTTGGCCGATCAGAAACAACCACACCGGAACTCATATTCTCAACTTTGCGCTCAGAACAGTCTTAGGGGACGGTGTGGAGCAAAAAGGTTCCCTTGTCGCAGCGGAGAAGCTGAGATTCGACTTCTCTCACAAGTCTGCTATTTCGGACAAGGATCTGGCTCGGATTGAAGAAATTTCGACCGAGTATATTCGACAAAACTGCACTGTTTACTCTCAAGAACTCCCTCTTGCAACAGCTCGGGAGATCTCTGGAGTTCGTGCTGTATTTGGAGAGACTTATCCTGACCCGGTCCGCGTTGTCTCCGTTGGTGTGGAGCTGGGTGAGATACTCCAGAACGTGAAGGATCCGCGGTGGAAAGAGGTCAGCATTGAGTTTTGTGGGGGTACCCATGTTCAGAAGACAGGAGACATTAAGGATCTCATTGTTCTAGAAGAGGGCGGTATCGCCAAGGGCATCCGCAGAATTATCGCTGTGACCGGCGAAGATGCGCATGAAGTGCAGCGTTTGGCAGCGGAATTCCAAAAACGGCTCGATCTTCTAGAAGCAATGCCCCTAACTCCAGAGAAAGAGAAGGAAGCAAAGCAGATCCAGGCCGAGCTCAATCAGCTTTCGATTTCTGCTGTACAGAAATCCGCCTTTCGCGAACGTTTCGCGCGTATTAACAAGGAGGTTATCGATGGGCAAAAGGCTCTACAAAAACTCGAATCAAAAGTCGCGCTGGAGACCATAACTAATTACTTCCAAGCTCCGGAAAATCAAGACAGGAGTTGGCTTGTCGCCAAGCTCCCCATCTCTGCGAACTCTAAAGCAATTAGCGAATCTCTAAATTACGTGAAGTCAAAGTTGCCCGACAAGTCGGTATACGTTTTAGCTGCAAGCACCGATCAAGGCCGTGTTGCCCATGGCTGTTACGTGTCGAAGGTATGTCTTCCTCACTACTACTTCGGGCCCTCTGGCATTGAAACTAATGCACTTAATACTTTGTATAGTCATCAAGCGAGGCCGGTGCCTCCGCCAGTGAGTGGGCAGCTATCGTTTCTGGTGCTGTCGGGGGGAAGGCGGGAGGTAAAGGAGCTACCTCAGTCGGCAACGGAGTTAATCCCGACAGAGTCGACGAAGCTGTCAGCTTAGCTTCTGACTACCTTGGCAAGTTGAAGTTATAGGCTGTTGGCTATGCTGTAGCCAACGCTTATTAGGGTAAACAGAACTTAAGTGATTGATGGTGAATTTCCCGAAACAACAGCTAACTTTTTTTCTGGACTTATTGCTTATCGTTCTTTGTTCTGTGTAACATAAAAAGGAAAATATCATGCCACTGGAATCTCGATGCTAAAAACATCCTTGAATCAATGTGTCACATCTCCCCACACTGCACAATCAGAACATCTTGGTTGGGCTTATCTCGCGTCGTTCTAGTGTTCTCAATCATCCGTACAACGTCCATCCCTTCCACCACCTTACCAAAAACAACATGCTTGCCATTCAAAAATGGGGTTGCAGTTGTTGTTATGAAAAACTGACATCCATTTGTGTTCGGACCAGAATTCTGGGAGAATTAGTCAAGGTATAGTGGATGGATGTCTTGTAGCTCAGGGACTTACTGCCATACTAAGCAGGCCAGCATGGTCATGCTTCAGAAGGAAATTTTCATCTGAGAACCTTGGGGTGCCGTAAATGGTACAAGATCCCGACCCATCTCCATTAACGAAGTCGCCACCTTGGATCATGAAATCTTTGATCTTTTCCGATATGAAAGGATTAGCAATCTCTCATGCACACGCCTCTGTATTTCTTAAAAAACATACTACCCGATGGAATTTGCTGTTTTTGTATCCTTGTGGTCGTCCCTGTGCATTTTTACATTCTCCTGTACAGAACTGGCGGAAATTCTCTGCTGTTCGGGGCGTAACATCGGCAAATAGTTCCATTTTTATACGACCTAAAGGCTCGCCTGTCATAGAGATAACTCAGTTACTATCCCTTTAGTATTGACTTTGTTGCATAGTGCATTATACAACACTGCATGAACCAGTAGCAGCACAATACCCACAAACCGACATATTGATGAAACACATTCATAGCCATTCCTATGGACGTGCCTATGTAGCCTGCCTGGGCCAGGAGAACGGGGTTGCAACAGATTATGTATCATCTGATGTACATACCTCCTAAGGCTATATCAAAGAAAACCACAGGGTTTCTGTCTATGTGCGAGGTTGAAGTTGCGCTGTTCATTCTGTTCACCTGTCTGATTTCTCGTTATGTCGTTGCTGGTCTCGTGCTTGCGATATCGACCCTGTTAGAGACTGGGTACGTGCTAGTAGCTACAAGTGGTTGAATACTGGTGGCCATGACGATGTTTCCTGAATTGGCTGTTTCTGTTTAATTTTATTACCCGTCCGTCCCCGCAGTGGGTTCCGACATGATCGATCGCCTGCCCCGTGACTCGGACGTTCCAGCCTTAGGTGTCTGCGTTTGGCGACCACGACGTTGGTGTATTTGTTCTCACTTCACCTCCCCCCATTGAGTTTGGTGAGCATCCAACACCAGATCAGGCTCCATTTTGACAGCTTGGAAGCTACAAATATATCGGTGTCAGTGATGACCTTCCCGGGGCGTCCTTTAACATGAGCCTGGGAGTTGGTGCCCTCATCTAGATGAACTGAATGGGATTGTCGACCAACCTCGCAGAGACAACCTATTATTTAAAAGTGTCTTCCTTCTTCCTTAAATCGATACACTGCATTCAGTACTCTGCTATACGCGCAACAATTCCCACTCTTTTTCTTCCTCTTCGGCATAGTCTATTGAACGTTGTCCACCCCTCCCCCTCCCCCATCGCCTTCTGTCGACATGTCCTCAACGACTACAGGCTCCTCTTCAAGTGCCACTAGTACAGATCGTAATGGGAATAACAACAGCTCAAGCCCTACTAGTTCGCCTCTACTATTTTTCGTCGCCCTCGGGTTTGGTGTTGTTTTCACTAATCTATGGTATGTCCAAATTGGTATCACTAGGCCTTTGCTGCGCTTAGATGCTCATCTAACCATCGCGTTCCAGGATTATCGTGGGGGTAAAATATTGCTTTCGATATAATCAACGCAATCGCCAATTACGCAGTGAAGTGACAGGCGAGCCTATAGATCTGGTCGCTATGCCACGAACACACCGAAGACGTCGAGAAAAGAAGTTGATGACTATGGACGACGTTAACGAGAGGTTTCCACTGACGAAGTATAAAGCATGGAGGTCATCCCGGGAGAATGAAGGCCTCTCTGGTGCAGGCGGGATCTCGGCACCGAATAGCCGGTCGCAAAGCCCCAAGGATGAGAACTACATGTTGTCCGCTTCGCTTGGCGCTCCTTCATCCATGGTGGCATCGCCACTCAAAAGCCATCAGCGGGTTGATTCCAACACTTCGCAGGCCTCTGCACCACTAGAAAACCTGGAGACAACGCTACCACAATCTGAAGAGAAGAGCCAGAGATATTCCGAGCCAAGCCCTACAAACATCGGAGTAAACGACAACGCCAACATATCAGCCCCGGAGCAGCCCCGTAACCACGCGCTCAACCATGTCATCGTAGAGGATGTTGGAGACCTTGAAGACCATATCCGCACCGCTGTACCTGCCGATTTCCTGGCAAATCCTGGGGATACTTGTGCTATATGTCTCGATACGATCGAGGATGAAGATGATATACGGGGGCTTACATGTGGACATGCTTTTCATGCGTCTTGTGTTGACCCATGGTTGACAAGTCGACGGGCTTGCTGTCCCCTATGTAAGGCAGATTACTACATCCCGAAACCTCGCGCAGAAACTTCTGAATTGGCTCCTAGCTCAGAACGTCAAGGTCGACGTGGCATGGCACGAGTGACACCTATAAACCCGCCACAGGCTGTTCTTATCGGTGGAAGAGTGAACTTTCTGCGGCCGTCGGGATCCCCGGAGCAGCATGTGCAACGGCGCCCGTTGACCCACAGAGCGGGCTTCTCTCGATTGCGCCTTTGGCGAGCCTCTCAATCTAACCACCAGCCCACATCTCCTGTGCCTGATACTTCGTCTGGACAGCCAGATCGGAGGGCTCAAAGGCTAGCACTCTTCACTGCATCCTACTTTCCCCTGAACTTCAGTCTCCGAGGTAATCGTGCATCGAGAGGACTTGCAAATAGGAACGCAGACGTCCGACATTCAGAAAACAACCGATCGCTTGGGGAACTTGAAGCCGGACCACCTATATGAAATGTTCCCTTTTGTTATCCTCAAGGACTCCTGATCTATATATCTTGAATCTCATGTCTTCTCTGCCTCTCGACATCTGGAATGCCGGTTGGACAGACTCGTGGTTATCCTTGCGCAGGGTGCAGCAAACGCCTGCGGCTTTGTACAGTACATTGATGCACCACACCATCATAGGCTAATGTGCCCCTGCTTGGCTGAGGTCATATCGATTTCCCCCTCTCACTGTAATTGATCAGCTCTTATCGACTTTCTGGCATGGATCTTGGCGTTTGTTGAGACTATTTGAATCTAGGTCAGCTTATTTGGTGCAGGTGAAACCGGAGACATCTGGCTTTTAGCGGGTAATGCATGGCTGGGTATACTGCTCATTGATATTTGGCAGGGGGCTATCTTCCGTCCTCTCAAGATGAATAGAATAGGACAGTCATATGTTGACTTGGCAGAACAGATATCTGATGGCACGGCTACATTCATTATACTAGCCATAGTCTACTCACTTGCATCATTTTCCAGGGTTACTCTCCAAGTTACACGGATGTTGTAGGTTAGATATTGGATATTCTAGGCTATGTTGACAGGTGGAGTAGCCAGTTCAGTAAGTAGTGTGCGACAATGTTTATTGTTGACATTTAGACCATGCAACGTTCCGGATCCTCGTTCAAATGTTCTCGCTAACCCTACATCCGCGGGTCATACATCGGGCACTCATCTTGTCTAATATGAAATAATTTCTTGAAGGCGGCACCAATAGCTACTATAAAAGCTACAGCAATTGCGAAAATAAGGAGGAAACGGTAACAAACGTCGGCTTTTTTTTTTTTTTTTTTTTAGCCTACAGGTCCATTCCAATGCATAACTTGTGTGGCGTCTTCAAATTTTCTGACCGTGGTTTCTCTGCACTTCCAGATATAGCAGTCAGTAGCAGCCACCCCACCAGGGGGGTTCTGGGAACAAGATCCATGTGTGCAGAAAAGGTTGATTGCATCATGGCATGATATGCTCAAAGAATAGCAATCGGAAATAGGGGTAGAGGAAGCATTGTAGGCGTATGGGATGCCAACACTGGCATGGTCCCAAGCCATCTGAGCCTTCCGACAGATCGCAAACCTTGTTCGCCCTTACACACCACTGGCGTGAGTAGGAAGGTAGAATGAGAATAAATCTTAATGAATAATAAGCTGGATAGCTTGATTGTTGGTGTAGAGAATGGCTGGTGTCATTTAGGCAAAAACGTAGCTAACTTACAGGACATACTATTTATGTACTCCGCACATCATGTGACTTCGGGGAAGCTCTGCATGGCTCATAAGGTTGGCTTGGCTCACGTGCTACAGCGGCCGGGCCTAATAACACAGAAGAACACTTTCTGCTCATACTATCGTAGTGGTGAATAATTAATAAACCACTAAACTCACGATATTTGTTATTATTCATCTCTGACTTTAAACTTGAAAATCGCTGGGCGTAGGCCTTGCACTTCTCCCATCGGCCTACTCCGTTGCACTCTATACCAGCAAACTGGGCAATAAGCCTACATTGATCTTTAGCTCGATTGGTGGTTTGAAATGTTTCTCCAATAATTGAAACCGGCGGCCGAGTTCTCTCAATGTATCATGCTAGACGATTACTTCGAAAATCCCAGGTAACATTCCGGATAAGCCAACCATTACCTCGGGATTCAAGCTCGGTCACTATTCGTCAACTACAGATCAAACGCCCGTGGGCCAGGTATGCTGAGCAGCTCATAGTTCGAAGCTGTCATAAAATCACTCCCTTTACTCACAAGTGCGCCAGGAAATTTCTAGCTACCTTTTTATTGTGCGGGACTGCACTTCATTTGTTAACTTCCTTCGCCGTCTTGCGGTTCGATGAGTCGCTCTATGATACTGACCGGTCACCGGAGAGTTTGCCAGGGCTTGACGCCTCATCCACACCTGAGAAGTTTGACAGGGACGAATATGTTCCTCCCCACTCAGAGCATGCTGTTACTATACAAACTCGCTTCCTTCCCCTAGGTTGGCCTCGCTTACACGAAGGAAACTTTTATGCACCGACAGACCCTGAGTGGCAAGCTTTTAGGAAATTAGCCCTTGACAAGAACAAGCTCTCGGGGTTGAAAGGTATTTGCGAGCAGATGGCCGTTTAGTCAGTCTGAAATTAACCAGTCATAAACAAACAGAAGACTTAATTTCAGCTGTTTTGGATGTCTCATCGCAATCAAGACTACTTAATTATATGCTGGGGGGACCAGTGTCTGTCGCAGGAGTTTGGCTAGAACACCGATTCCCGTACCGTGCACCCCCTGTATACTATCGATTTGGGTATGTATGCCCTAATAAGTACAGTATAATTTGCTCATTGGTACAGACTACAACTATCTCCGAATGGCCTCGCCTGGGTTTCGAAGCCAATAGCTTCAGAAGACGGCGACTGCCTGCACAGATGTATGAGGCCGTTATGTGTGGCACACGCAATTAAGGATGCTTTTTTGGTTCTGTGGAGCAGGCAAATCTCCCGACTTAGCCCAGGCTTGATGGATGAGCAGATGTCTGGGTCTTTTATTTCTCTAGATGCAAATTTATTGCCCTCGGTCTTGCAAGGATCTGATGGACTTGACGACGTTTCTCGGTCTGTGTCACAGCCGCCTCCACAGAATTCCCAAGACGGCAGCCCATCAACCAAGGACTGCTCCCGTCCACATACTTCATTGTGCATTTCTACGTTGCGAAAATTACCGCTGCCAAAGCTCGGGCCTGATTCTGACCTACGTATGGCGCTCCTGGCTTTCAAGTGGCGATTGAATTACTGCTGGGCTCGCAACGTGCACACATCTCGTCGCGGTGTCATGTACTTTTCTGGTCCTGTTGGTATACGAGGCCCCAGAGGGTTGTGCAGAGTGGAGGTGAAGGGAGAGTATGATGTTGTGAGGTCTCAATGGACTGCTATCTCCATGGATATCAGAGATCTTAATTTGTTCAGTCAAAGGGCACTTGGTCCTCGTTAGCAACGCTTATGTCCATTGGCTGTAACTCAGCTGACTTGTGTAAACCACCAATCCCAGAGCGTATCAAACAACCTCAATACCGTGGTATCCTTTATGGCCTCAAAGCCTTGTGAAATACCAGCGAGGGACATGGTTTGGTGTGTCTGTCAGACGGTCTCTTACGGATTATTCTAGGTTCACGAAATCCTTTCGGAGACCCCATCTGGAGCATTCAGCTTATTATAATGGGTTCCTTGAGGCAGGCAAATGAACAGTACAGCGTCTTGATGGGATATGTGTATCTTCCCTCTATTTTGCTAAAGTTCGTGCAGCCAGCCAAACTACGTACCACCACTTCAAACTCCGCATAAATATGAAGGGCGAATCGTGCTACCGGGTGCTAGTTGTCGTTAGTCAAACCAGGTGTAGTAAGCTTTGATAATTGTGTACACAAAGATGAGTCAAATCTCTTAAGCGATGCTTGGTAACTCGAGTATTAGTTATCCTGATTGACAACTCATTAATAAATCCCAAAGGGTTAGTTTACCATGTGATTTGACTAATTATTCATAGTTAACGTAATCGGACAACGAAGCGGCGCGACAACGAGCCGGCGCGGCGATCCCCAACACTTCAAACAAGCCACTGTTCTGCCTACCATATTACAACGATCGCTTCAAATTAAAGCAATTAAACACTAAATAAACGACTTATATACAAAGAAACTAGGTGTTGACTTTATCTGGACATTTGAGGCGATTATGGCCTTCTTTGTTGCAATTACTGCAGCGTGGTAGCCGACGTTGAGTGTTCTTCATCTATATAGCTTCAACATCCTTTTTCTGAGTAATATGACGCGCAGTAGAGCCATCTAATGTGTCTTCTTCTTGTAGAAAGCGTTTTGAAGCCTTCTTCTTGTTCTTTTTATATTAATTAACTGCACGAAGTTAATTCAATTCGTGTTGAAGCAGTACAGCATTCTATATTACTATTTCTGCATCTTTATACACCTTTTCGAGTACTTGATCTGCAATAAGTGATAATAACCCAGCTTTCTGTAGTGTTTCGATCTCCGCTTTCTGATGATTCAGTTGATAAAGAGTTAAAGGTGTTTTACTGAGATATATAAATTAATTAGATGATGATATCGAAGGTAGTGGAGGTATTTAATTTAAATTTCTGAGATTTTAAAGCACTTTTTGAGGATTATACGGAATAAGCCCTGTTGCAGCGAATCCTTATTTTATATTCGCTGTATTAAAGACTTTCGTATACACTTTTTTAAAATGATATAAAAAGTCCTTTTTCTATATATGGTAGATGCCTTGGTCAGCTGTATCTTTGATTCGACGGCCGTACAGAATCTTTAGCAGTGCAAAACAAGCGACATCAAGCGGTTGAAGTTTATAGAAAGAATGAGGCGGCATGTATAAAGAAATAATCAATCTTTCTTTATAATATTGGTCGAATTCGATAGTTAAATGACTTCCATGGCCATCAAGAATAAGAAGACAATACTGGCCTATTGTTTTTGAAGCTGTAAATATATTAAAATACTGAAGCCAGTCAAACGCGAGTTTATCATTCATCCATCTGTTATCGCTAATACTGATCTGCCAGTTATTGGGAATAGTTTTAAACTACTTTTCTTATTATATTTTACCTGCAAAGATAATCTGTGGAGGTAGTATACTTCCTACAGTACTGATTATAATAATTGAAGTAACCTATTCACGATTTTTAGATTGTATAGATCTTGCATTTGTTTCACGGGATTCAGTACCGCAAACAATCTTTACAGTTGAAGCTATTCCCATTTAAAAACCCGTTTCATCTATATTATAAGTATCGTGTTCAAGAATCCTATATTTTTATATGGTATTCTGTACTAATTTAAACTACTGGTTTATGATATCAACATCCTTGCACTTCGCGCGTTGATAATCAAAATATTAAGTATATTTAGACTTCAATTCAGCCTGGTGACGTTGAACGAATCGGTTAACCCAGCGTTTGCTGCTAAAAGTGTTATTTTTTAACTTTGATTTCGATGATAAAAGGATCTCTGCAAGATATTGTACTTTTATAATAGTAAGCGGATAGCCTCGTGAGTCTAATTCAAGGATCCTGCGCTTTAATACTAATTTATTATTATTAGATAGCTTCCTTAAATTTGCCTTTATTTCAGCGCGAGACTTGATCCCATTCAAATGATCTTTCAAAGTGCTTATCTTGACATTAAATGCTGCTGCACATGCTTTCTTGGTAGTAAATTGACCGCGATTAAAGGCCTCACAGGCAAGCACTAGTCTTCTATCTCTAGAAAGATTCTCCATACGTTTGAATAGCTTTAATATTGATTGAATTAAGCAAGGTTGAATGTCGCGTGTTGTGGAGGTTCGAAGCGGTGAGGGTTCCCGCGCCGGCTCGTTGTCGCGCCGCTTCGTTGTCCGATTACGTTAGTTAGTTAACTACCGTAGTTACCAGTCAGGTGATGTGTAATCACCTTACTCCCGCCGATAAGGCCAGGCAGTGTAGAGGGGCATTCTCTTTTCAGCTCACTACTAGTATCGACAAGGGCTGACTATAGAAGGTTTAACAATAATGGCTCTCCATCCTAAATTTCTGGGGCAGAAGTTGTTGGCCAATGCACAGCAACCATGGCATACCCTCGAACTCTGTATGTTAAATGAAATACTGGCGATGCTCTTCTATACCCCGATGACTAACGCATTAATTATCGAAGACCTTGATTATGTCTGCCCCGTTAGTACTATACAACACCCTGCCCAGGAAGGGCTTACTAAAATGCTACTTCCAGTACTCTGCAAAGCTATTCAACACATTCTACACATCGGTGAGTCCAATTATCTTACAAAAATATCAATCAAGACTTCAGGTTGTCTTTCGTCAGCACATTCAACCTTGGCATCCATCATCCACTCTGACGCATGAAGCTGGTGCGGCGGTGCTGAAAATAGCTCCAGACAAGTTCTGGGAGTTTAGCGCTGCACTTTTCAATCACCAAGAAGAATTCTTTGATGTCAGTGTTGTTAAAGAGACACGTAACAAGACATATCAGAGACTTGCAAAAATAGCCGCGACAGTTGGTGTTGACGAACACGAGATGCTCGAATTATTGAACATCAGCGAAGTTATGCCTGATGGACAGTTGAATACCGGCAACAAGGTGACGAATGATATCAAATTGATGGTCAAGGTGCGCCATTGAAATATTGTTACAGGGCTCAACATTGAATCCTAACTAGATATAACAGTCAGGTCGAACAATTGGCGTCCATGTATCTCCGACCGTATATTTCAATGTAAGCCGTCTCATTATTAACTGAGCGATTTGATGCACTGATCCCGCTGGTTAGGGCGTCGAAGAACCAGGTATCAGCAGCAGCTTCACGGCCACACAATGGGAGCAATGGCTGGCCATGAATGTAGCGTAGGGAATTGTGCTCTAAAAGAGAGTGGTATGATAATAGGAGGTATTCAAATGCAGATGATAATTGTGGGCATTCTCTGGTAGCAAGGAGCATATCTCAATCTGAAACCCGAAATTTCCAGGATGAAACATCTGGATGCAGTCTATTCAAATGGGCCTTCTCGCATGCATTGCTCACTATCAGTGACTGTTGTTTTTGGATCTCGTTGTATTAGTGTTTCAGAGGCGACGGGGGCAAGGTTGGCATCAACAGTATTCCAGCTGACGAGTTACTGTGATACTGGCGGCTGATAGTTCAAGGGGCGCCTGTATGCATTGGTTAGGCTTGAAAGCGATGACAGGGTCCCCATACTCACTTGAAGAGAAGAATATGTGGTTCTGGCTCGTGCACTTCATAATGTTCCCAACCCAAGCTCTGATCATTAAATTAGACGTCTTACATTTATAACTTTCGTCGACCTCTTCTTACGTACTTGTGTGATACCAAGTGCACGCCATTCATCCTCCCACAGTAGTTTTAGCGTTCCTTTTGAACTGTCAAAATAGTCTGCAGGTATTTTCTTGAGCATGTTTTTGGGGAGTTGGACATGGCGGTATTCGAACTGGTCATCTGAGTATCTGCGTTTGCTGTAAGGCCAAGGCACACCAAAAAAAATCGCTTGTATGCGGCATACCTGGCTGAATAATGAATAGAATCAATGAATTCCTCTAATCTCTCCCGTTCAGATTCTAGCAAAGGGCGGGGCTTTTTATTCCTTCTGCTTAGATCGATGTCCATCTGGAAAGGCGGGGGTAGCGGGGCAGACACTATCGTAATCACTGCAGTCTAGTTGCTGTTAGAAAGAAGCATCAAATCATGCGTTGTTGCGACAATTGACAGAAAGGCCCCTGCCTGTTCTTGACAGACGGTCCAAGCAGACACTCACAAGTAAATAGTCCTTTGGTAGCAGAGTGAGGAAAAGCAAGTGGGTGAGAGGACTTTTTGAGTCTCAAAGAGACGCAAACAGCGTTATGACGATGACTTGTCGAAAGAAGTCTCTTCTTACTGACCTCTAGAGTTTAAAACAGGCAAGGTGTAGATTGAAGCTGTCTTGGTTTGAGGGCGCGTGGAAGGAGCCTCCATTAAGATGTCCGAGCAGTGACTCTTCGACTTTAGGATACAAGTGGAGTAGCTACCCGCTTTAATGCCTAAGGTATCAAATTTGATACCTGGATGCCATCAAGTCAGGACTAGATGGTTGTGAATTGGATTATATCATTATAATACAGACCATGTTTAAGTAGGGGCCATAAGGGACTTGCCGTCGTCAAAGATTGGAGGTGCACAATCAGTCTCTTTGGCTGCCTACTTATCTCTTCCCAAAACAATTATATGAAGGATCGTTTACTAACTTTACTGGATGGCCATACTAGATTTTATATATTCACAGTGTGATAACAATCTAATTTATTGTATGGTAGATGCTTGTCGGTAGGATCTTTATAAGAAAAAAGTTGCATACTGAACACGGAGAAGGAAACCAAAAACCTAGTGAAGCACAGTTATACTTCTCAACTATTACCCAGTGCGCTCTGCCACTGCCCTGATACTGTGTATTAAGTACAGTAGTAGTAATGAGGAAGAAAGAATCGCCTGATTATCTAAGAAGTTCAGCAGCCAACCAGGGCTTGAAACCCAAGTTTACCTCAGCCGAGAACGCGCCAAAACCGGCAGTACTCGAAGAAGATTGGGTCAGGAAAGAAGGGGCAACAAAAAAAAAAAAAAAAAAAAGGGAAGGAAAAATTGCAAAGTGGGTTTCTTTTTTTTTCATCCCAAATTTTAACCGCTCCCACTCCAGCGCCTGGGGCAAAATTTATTTAGTCTTCTTCTCCTCCAACAATCGTCCTGCCTTTTGGCATCATCTCATTTTTCCTATCCCATCTCTCTTGAGACATTCACATTTGTCAAAATGGCCGACGAAGTTTACGAAGGTGCCATCGGCATTGATCTTGGTGAGCCTTGCCTCTACTTTTGTTGTTTCATCTCATGACTGACGAGATTCTTCAGGAACCACCTACTCCTGTGTGGCCAACTATGAGGGTACCAATGTTGAGATCAGTATGTCGATACCTGTGTACTCTGGATCCGGCGCTGGTTAGCTGATAAACATGCAGTTGCCAACGAGCAGGGTAGCTACACTACCCCATCCTTCGTTTCTTTCACCGACAAGGAACGCTTGATCGGTGAGGCGGCGAAGAACCAGGCCGCTATGAACCCTAAGAACACCATCTTTGACATCAAGTAAGCAGCTTTTCGCTACACATATGTTCGTTATTAATTGAATCCAGGCGTCTTATCGGTCGGCGGTTCGAAGATCCCATCGTTAAGAAGGATGTTGAGTCATGGCCCTTCAAGGTTGTTGATCAGGGTGGAAACCCTGTGGTTGAGGTCGAGTACCTTGGCGAAACCAAGACTTTCAGTCCTCAAGAAATCTCTTCTATGGTTCTCATGAAGGTAACATTTCTTTGGCCCCAACTACGCGGCATTGCTTGTTATATCTCTTGCGTTACTGACAGATCACGCTAGATGAAAGAGGTTGCGGAAACCAAACTCGGAAAGAAGGTCGAGAAGGCAGTCATCACCGTGCCCGCTTATTTCAACGACAACCAGCGCCAGGCTACTAAGGATGCTGGTGCCATTACTGGTCTCAACGTGCTCCGTATCATCAACGAGCCCACTGCAGCAGCAATTGCTTATGGCCTTGGCTCCGGCAAGTCTGATAAGGAGCGTAACGTTCTTATCTACGATCTTGGTGGTGGTACTTTCGATGTGTCTCTCCTTAACATCCAAGGTGGTGTCTTCACTGTTAAGGCTACTGCCGGAGATACCCACCTTGGTGGACAAGACTTTGATACCAACCTCCTGGACCACTTCAAGAAGGAGTTCCAGCGCAAGACTGGCAAGGACCTCTCTGGAGACGCGAGAGCCCTCCGTCGCCTCAGAACCGCTTGCGAGCGTGCTAAGCGTACTTTGTCCAACGCTACCCAGACTACTGTGGAAATCGACTCTTTGTTCGATGGCGAGGACTTCAATTCCTCCATCACCCGTGCTCGCTTTGAAGATCTGAATGCCAAGTCTTTCTCCGGTACTCTCGAGCCAGTGCAGCAGGTTCTCAAGGATTCTGGCCTTGAGAAGAGCCAGGTCGATGAGATCGTGCTCGTTGGTGGTTCCACCCGTATCCCTCGTATCCAGAAGCTGCTCAGCGATTTCTTCGATGGCAAGAAGCTTGAAAAGGTAAGTGATACCCTGGCCATCTATTAAACGAGTCCTGTTCTAACAAGTTTGAATTAAAGAGCATCAACCCCGATGAAGCCGTCGCCTATGGTGCAGCCGTTCAGGCTGGTATCTTGTCTGGAAAGGCTTCTTCGGCTGAAACCCAGGATCTTCTTCTGCTTGATGTCGTTCCCCTGTCTCTCGGTGTTGCTATGGAGGGTAACATCTTCGCTCCTGTTGTGGCCCGTGGTCAGACTGTGCCTACGATCAAGAAGCGCACTTTCACCACTGTCGTCGATAACCAGACCACGGTGCAGTTCCCCGTCTACCAGGGTGAGCGTACCAACTGTGCTGATAACACCTCTCTGGGCGAGTTCACCCTCGCTCCCATCCCCCCTATGAGGGCTGGAGAGGCCGCACTTGAGGTTGTTTTCGAAGTTGATGTCAACGGTATCCTCAAGGTTACTGCTACCGAGAAGTCTTCTGGACGCAGTGCCAACATCACCATCTCCAATGCCGTCGGCAAGCTTTCCACCACTGAGATTGAGCAGATGATCGATGGTACGTTTCACGCAGCGAAAGATATATCTATATATACTGACAGTTCCTAGACGCTGCGAAGTTCAAGTCCAGCGATGAGGCTTTCACCAAGAAGTTCGAGTCTCGCCAACAGCTCGAGTCCTACATCTCGCGTGTTGAGGAAATCGTCTCCGACCCTACCATGTCGCTGAAGCTGAAGCGTGGCAACAAGGAGAAGATCGAATCGGCACTCAGCGATGCTATGGCCCAGCTTGAGATTGAAGATTCGACTCCCGAAGATCTTAAGAAGAAGGAGCTTGCTCTTAAGAGACTCATTACTAAGGCCATGGCCACTCGGTAAACGAATCTCTGCGATCCTATCATGGTCCTAAGTGCGGCACTATACAATTGCCCTTGCCTCTACCATTCACCCTTCAGTCCCACCATCGAATTTGCGCAAAGTGGCCGATTTCCTTGCTTCGCCTTTGATTGGAGACCTTAACGTCGTCTACGGAATTTCCTTTTAGATGAGGCGTGTTTATTCATGACCGGGTACAAAATTGCAAAAGTAATTTACGAAAATTTTATATATGAACTCCGTTATTATCATAACGCCCTTGTATCTGATTGCATGAGCCGTATGCTAAACCAGAGTATATCGCCCCTAAAAAGGCTCTCTGTATTTCCATCACTACTGTTAGACTTTTGAGAATGGAGACTTGTTTGACTTGCCCTTTGGACTGCCTTCCATAACCATTTGTAAGTCGTAGCTGCCGTGGCGAGCTGCTTGTGTCCTGAAAAAAGAAAAACAAGTAAATAAATAAGAATAAAAATAAAAATAGAAATAAAAAGAACAAAAGAAAAAGCCCATGAAATGTGCTAACTAGAGGGTGGCCCGCTTGGAGGCGGCGTAATCAGTTTGCCTCGGCATTGAGTCTCCCAAATCCTATCACCCTTGTCTAATCATTCGCGCAATTTGCTACAAGCAACTGTACCCGCATGATTTGTCGTTACTGATAAGCATATAAGACCCATACCCAAAAAAGACGGGCACTTGGAGCAGAAGAAGAGTGAAAATGCAACGCCGTGCAGCACTTACCGGCATCAGCTATATGCGTCGCTGCTCAACGTTTACTGGGTTGCGTTATAACTTGCTTCCTGAGCATCAACTTCCGCCTTGGACTCAGCATAAGGTAGCACCTCCGTCTAATAAAAGGAGCTTTTCCAGTTCGCCCTTTTGGTGTAAGAAGAAGGACAAGACGAAAACTACATCTGCTGCAGATTCTGGGAAGCCGTTGCCAAAAGCAGGCGCAGGCTCCGAAGACCCGCATGATTTTTCACAGCTGCATGACGGCATAGCGGCTGCCCTGTCTCGACTCAGAGACGAACTCTCTAAGATGCGTGTCGGGGGGAGGTTCAATACCGTATCAATTGAGAGTCTTCGTGTGCAGCTGAGCAAGAGCAGCAAGCAATCGATCAAGCTGGGCGACCTTGCTCAAGTTGTTCCTAAGGGTGGACGAATGGTGACTATCTTGGCCTCTGACGAAGATGTGAGTTACTGGCGCCTTAAAAGAATGTCTTTGCTATCACGAAGCCTACAGATCCTCTCAATCTTCCATTTTTGCTCTAACGCAGACTGTTATCGATATAGCATGTGAAGCCCATTCGCTCGTCAATAGTCTCCTCCAACTTGTCGTTAACCCCGCAAGCCGACCCTCACAACTCCCTTCAGCTCAATGTCACGATCCCCCCACCGACTAAAGAGTCCCGGGATCAAACGATCGCTATGGCAAAGGCGGCAATGGAGAAAGCTGCCGGTGCCGTCCGTGATTCACGCAGCGCTGTGCATAAACGTCTTCAGGATCTGCAGAAAAAGAAGATTGCCAGGCCAGATGACGTTCGGAAGGCCCAGGAACAGATGGAAAAGCTTGCAGAGAAAGGGCAGAAGGAGGTGAAGGAACTGTTTGAGACTACAAGGAAGGCTATGGAGCGGGCGTAATGAGGAATCACGCTGCTGAAAGTCCAGCTTTGAATGAACTCAAAGCGTGATATGAGTACGAGTTCTGTATCTGATATTTAGAGATTCATTGTATTCTACAGTCACTTATAATGCATAAATGTGAACGAGACAGATAACAAGGGATGATGGAAAGCTGCAAAAATACAGGTACATAGTAAAGATACTGATGGTATCAGGGAGCAAGATTCTCAAGAGCGTTTCGTAATGCGACTGGCGGCTAAAAGCGAGTCCAACTTCGCAATGAACGCAGAGGACTTGCCGACCGTGTGATACGTTGCATTGTTTCTGAGGTTTTCAGAGACACTGTCAACGACTGAGACGTTGTCCGCCTGTTTGGCTTTCGACTTAGGATAGTTGCCCTGAACAAGCAGTCCAATAAGTGAGCCTTGGTCCTTGGTACTGAGTGGACTGAAGTTGACATGACGTGGTTCCACAAGATCGCCTTTTCGCTGCGACAACTTATCTGCGCGTTCTTGCGATAGCTTGTTCGCTTCCATAATGGCCTCAGCCTTTTCCTCTTCACTCGAAAAGCGGACAAATTTGCCCTGATAGAGTCTCTTGCCCAGCTCATTCGGAGGTACATAATCATTGGCATAGCGATCACCGAATAGAGACAACTTTTCAACGACTCCGGCAGTATGAGCGTGTATGTCGGTGGGTAGAGATGGCCATGTTTCTTTCAGTGAAGCTAAAGAAATTGACTCGGGATTGTACTGGACAGGCTTGGGCTGCGCTTGTTCTGCGAGCTCTCGGTACACAGCGTTGATTGAGGCTTCATGGAATGCAGCTTCCAATGCCGAATCTTCCTGATCGGACCCCTCGTTGCGTCGAGGACGGCCTTCCCGCCCATCTTTAGATTGAACCTTCTTCCTTGGACCAGCTCTAGGGCCTCGGAAAGCGGTGGATCGGTTGCCTCGAGGGTTGCGAGCCCTGGAATTCTTAAGGATATTTGCTGGTTGACCAGTGGCTTGAGAGGCGGCGAGAGATCTCGCATCAATTATCCGTCGGGGACGAGGTCGTTCATGGTTGACGTTCCGAATGTTCAGGTTCGCCGGCGGAATGTTGTTTCTTCTGGTTTGCGCACTAGGACGTCCGGCGGCGGAAGAGGCTGCGGAATCCTCGGTTGCATTCGCATCTTCATCAGTTAGAAACAAGTGAGTAGGGGCTGAGAAATCGTAGTATGGCTGGATGAGAACAACAACTCCTTGAGAGAAAAACCAGTTGAGGGAGGGAAAGTAAGATGAGACATGCACTGTGAACTGGGCGGACGGAGACTGGAACGTAGCATACTTACTGGAGTGGTTGTTGTAATCTTTTGCTTGTAAGTAAGTAGCCGAAAACTGACGAATGGATAAAAGAGTCCCCTCTATTGCCCTGGCACGCCGAGGGCGTAGAAGCACGACCCGTTGTTGGAGCATCCTTGTTGATGAACATCTAAGGATTGGATAAGAGGGAGACTAAAAATGTTCGTTACCTCCGAATGCTACAAAGTCACGTGCTGCGCGAACAGAAGCATAATCCAGACAATTTCCGTGGGAGCGGCAAGCCTCCTATTTACTATTCATTACTTATCCTCATAGCTCCGGTCTCACGATCAAATATGTTACGCCGCAAACCCACCGCTATAGCTATAACCTCGGAAGACCTTGCGACTTTTGAACAATCACGGCTCCGACAGCTCTCCAAAGAGACTCGTACCGAAGGCCATGCCAGCACTAGCTCCAATGTCAATATTGACCCCAGCGATGAGCTCAAGCCATTGCCGGGGGAAAAGGCGAGAATCGTCCGCTCGCGGGAAGAGCGCATCGGTATTAATCGACGCAATTAACTTTTGAAGGGTTTGCCCAACACGTTGGCTTTTCCTGGCTACCGATTTATGCCGAGTATTGCCTCGGGCATCATCACCACTTCCCAAGAGCAAGAGAGCCCCGATTGGCAGCGAATAATCTAAAAGTCCCACACACATCAAGGTGTGGTTTTTCGCAGGTCAATTCCTGCTACAAGTGCATGTTCTACAGCGATAATATTACAACGACAGCCTGTGCATAACATTTCCAACTCTATTCCCGACGGTGTGCTTGGTTTGTAACCTATACTGCGAATCTTACCATTTTCAATGTACTGGGTCTTTGTTCCTGCCCGTCTCATTAATTATTGTAATTATAATATTATGTTATTGAGGTCGCCACATAGTGCGGCCACATAGTGCAATTGCATAGCAGTCATTGCAAGCCGATGGAGATCATCTCAGTCGACTGAAGTAGCCCAACAATAATTTCAGGGTGATTGAAAACAAGTTCAGTGGGCGGACGTTCTGTTTCAATGCGAAGTGATAGAGACCGTATGCGATTGCAGCGTTGAGTTTAATGAGATCCTTACGTTACAAGAACAGAGAGAGAGAGAAGCAGTAGGTGAAACTTTGGGCGTTGCGTGGTACTCATTTGGATAAGCCATCATTTTGTACATGAAAAGCATGTCTGCTTTGGGAGCATAGTAACATGACCAGCATACTTATAAGAACCAGCTACCAAAAAGGACACGCCGAGGTGAAAAGAGCGAATCTCTCTGGCAGGCGCTATAATTCGTAGCCATCAATAACTCTAGGAGTGCCCCTGCGTTTTGAATGAGCCCCCAGTCTTCCAGCTGTGCTGAATAGAACGCGTTACCGCTGGCGCTTTGAAGTGCTTTCGGTTCCTAGGTCGACTGAATAATTCCACCGCCGTTTGAGACCGTTTGGATCGTACACACTAGCAACACTTTGTTGCCAGTCTCGTGCCGTGAACAAAACTTGTTGCCCGGTGAATTGAGTGTGTGGCATGGGAGCTGGTGCGACCGGGGTAACCTTTGATTGCTGCTCATATTGTACGGGGAAGTGGTCAGGTAAAGAAGGTTGAACGGTCTGGGCTGGATTGCTCAAGGCCATTGGTGGGGAATTTGTTGTCACAGTGGGTGTACCGATAGAAAATGCCATATCCCATTGACTAGACAGTTTCGAACAAGTCAATGACCATTTCTCGGTGTAAATTACTCTTTTCTTGGAAAAAAAAGGGCTCTTACTTGATTATGCGAGTAGGATCCCAGCTATTTTCATCAACTAAAGGCGCGTTCAGTCCGTGGGTAGAGATCGATTGAGAGGGAATTAATCCCAACGGTTGGAGCTGAGAGGAATCGGACTTTGAATCTTCAGTACCAGCTGATATTGGAGGGGTTACAGGATAAGCTGCATAACCCACTCTACTTTGAACGCCAGGTACTTGATTGATTTGAGAAGCGTAATGTGAATCTAGTGGCGGGCTTGGGTGATATGACTCGGAGGGACTCCCGTACGGGAAAGTTGGCTTCAATTCGAAAGGTCGGTTCACATCAGCTGAAAAGGCGAAGCGCAAAGAATCAATTTGCGCTTGTAATTCTGGCATAGGCCAAGCGGAAGAACATCGCTCAAGTATTCGCATGTGCCGTGTGAAATATTCCCGCGCGTCCGTGTGAAAGTTTGGGTCTGGAGACGTTATGGCCACCTGTTGTAGCATTAGCTGACCGTCAATAGTATAAAAGGCTCGGAATTCTCACAAGGTGCAGCATTGTGCATGTCAAAATGGTGTAGATTGTGAAATTTATGCCTCTTTGCATGAAAAGCAGGCCAGAGAGCCCAAAGCGGTTCAAAATGGCTTCTTGAAGCCTACAAAGGTATTTCGCCGAAGAGTAGCATAACGCCATATGCATCTTCCAACCGCCCCCTGCCGCAAAAGACTTGGAAGCTATCAATTGTGGACGGTGTAACAGGATAATACCAAGATGACAGTGGGAATGCATATTCCCGACGAAATGTGATGGAATCCACGGTGGTGAGCCATCAGGAGGATAGTTGACTTGAAGATCCGGTGGTAAACTCTGAAGCCAGTCGGTAAAGAGAGGATTTTTTTCAACGAATTTAGGGTTAGCCCCCCAATCCTTCTGTTTCTTTATCTTATGGTATATATCGGCAATGATGCGAATATGGCGTGCATTCCGGACGAAGTATGCATACTGCCTTGACCGATCCAATTCGAACTGATCAAGGCCTCTGATATCCAAGGTCGGACTCATATTTACTGTCTCATGGTCCACACCGTAATCGGAGCGCCCTGAGAATCGTCAGCCAGTATATACCTATGAAGATCAGAAGACGTACCCTGCGGCGCCCCTATCATGACTTCGACGACCAAGAGGGCCTGCCAGACCCTTGTCTGCACCAAGCATTCTACAGGATTCAAGTCGCAAGACCTGCCTTCCGTGTGGAGATTGTTGTGTTCATGGATATCCAGATCTTTCGCCATGGAGATGATTGTTTTAACAGTTTGCCAAGAACGGTAATAATAACCCTTCTTTGGCCGTGACTCTCGAGCCTTCAATAACAGAAGCAGAGCTTGTATCGTACTGAGGCGAGGTTCGTCCATAAAACTAGATTCGTGCCCTAACAAGACGGTTTGCAGTCAGCATACGACGTGGTACACAGGTGCGTGGGTATCTTTGTCGCCTCACTGTTTGCTAATGCGAGCCACTGTGCTCCTTGAGCCGGGTCGTCCGATAGCCTCCCTGCGCACGCAAATAGTGCCTCTAGCAGAAGCGGAGATATTGAACTTCGTTCGTGTTGCCATTGATAGTACAGATGAGATCGATGGATGACAGGGACGTATGGATGTATATCATCAAAATATATCTTGAAGTAGTTCATGACCTCGTCATCAGATGGCATCAATTCGGGCGGGATGCGTATAGTGGCGCCAGCTCCGGTACTAAGGGGTGGTAACTTCTCGTCTACTTCATCCTGGGTCGGGATTTCTGGCTCAGCCCTCTCCCTTCGTTGCTGCCTGATGTACGGCGCTGAGACTAGGTTAATACATTCCGTCTGTAAGACACGTTACGAAGGCTAGTATATCTCACCAATACCAGTCTCGTCTATCTTGAGCTCCCCTAAGACCTCGCTGAGGTTCTCTGCAGTAGATTGATCATGCTCAGTGTATATGTCACTTTCTGCGGTTCCCAAAGGTTGGGTTTGGTCGTTGGAGAACATCTGTGACTGAGTATATTGGTGATGTGGCATGGCCACTTGGGACGATCTCATGTCGTAGACATTTGGCTGACCTGGAGTAGAATGCGCAAATTGCGGATAGATCCCAATGTTGTCATTATATGGGTGCATGCCACCCATTGAAGGTGGTCCGGAATCTCGATAAGCTTGGGAGCCGGGATATGACGATAGTGAGGGTTCTGCTGCGTTAGACGCGCCTAACGAGTCGACAGGATTGGTTTCAACGTTTTCCGCTGCAGCATATTCGCCATCATGCCCGATTGTTGGAGGAACGCATACTAACTTCAAGCGTGTGCATGCCGAACAAGGCCATGTGTTTGTCGTAGCAGCATCACACTTGATCTTCCGTTTCCTGCAACCATTGCAAGCTCGCATTACTGAAGATAGGCTTTTAATCAGACGCAACGAAGTCAAGTCCACATTCGGCCAAACATACCTTTGAGCCTCTTATGCCTGTTATGTTCATCGACGAATACATAGTCTGTATCAAGAGCCGTCAACATACAATGAAAGCCATAAACGGGCAATTTATCCAAATGGTAACTACCGGGGGGAGGGGGTCTTACTTTTCTGGCCTTCCCTTGGTGGGCCCGTCGGGGGTGTGAATGTGAAGCCTTGCATCTTAGCACGGACAGCGACACAAGCTATGAGGCAGCCCAGGAAATGTGGACCGGACCAGCATGCAACAACTTTCGGGTATTCGGAAGAAAAATATAAAAAAAACTAAGGCAAAGGAGAGTATCCGCAGGACCTGCCTTATGCGGATGGAACCAATGTGGAATGTATTCTGAACCTTTCACTGTCGACTTGATGGGCGCTGGGATGGTCTTCGCACTATTGTAGCTTCAATCCCACACTTGTGCAACAACGGTCACTCTTGTCCTAAGCAGGGAAAGGATAGGGGGAGGAGGTATAATGGATTGCGACCGAGAAAAACGATGTAGTAAGGTAGGAATATCTATCGTCAACCGCGGGAACAAGACAGCGTCAGCCGGAGATAATAAGGTGTGACTTGTAGTCTCTGTACTATGGTCTCCTAGGATCAATCTGATCAGTCTCCGAGTCATAGATGGGTGTAATAAAGACAGCGCAGCTATGGGAGTAGCGGAAATTTGTGTCCTGGGGTATTGGCGCGACTGACAGTTTCACAAAACGTAAGCTTTAATTAGGTCGAGTTTGCTGCGAATCCATTAAGCGGCGACAAATGAGACTTAGAAGGTCAGAAAAGGGAAAGATATGAAGAAGCTGCGATTATATATTACAAAATGTCAGTTGTGGACGACGACAAGAAGTGAGGACAAATGAAGGTAGGGTAACAGTGACAATCCGGGCTAGCGACGGAGAAAAGGCTATCATTAAGGGCAAACTCAAAGAGGGTAAGGAATAAGAAAGTGCTTCCTGCACATGCCGGAAATCCAAGAGCGGCCAACATTGAGATACGAGAAGAGATCCACGAAATATGATAAAGAGGAACGTTGAGCAAGCGGAGGAGTTGTTGATACCTGATATGTTGGGTTGAACGACTTTCATCCAGTCTGCATCGTAGACCAGAAACGTCAGTATGGATACCTCGCCATTGACTTTGCAGTATGAAGGAAGATGAAGTCGATTGGCGCATCACACTCCGAGGCGAAAGTCACCATTTGCATGAACCGGGATTCGTATGGAGACGGCTAGAGGATCAGAACGCCGGGCCTGGGATGATGGGCAATTGCAAGAGCAGTACGGAGTAGAGGCTTGGAATAGCAGACGCAAAGAAGATAAGAGCATCAGGGGAATCGAGAGCCCACCAATACAATCAATGATTTCCCGGATGGAATTAATATCTCCGTATAGGATTGGGGAGGATGCCGGGAACTGATGCGGTCTCCTTAGCTAAGTCATCACTCTTTGCCGCCTCATTCTCCTGGTAGTTGAGCCGTAGATAATAGCAGACAGTGTGGTTCGTAGTAGTGCACGGGGATCCGAGCGATCAGTCAATAATAAAGAGACGATTGTGCGGAGACCCAACAACAGGGGTGGGTAAACACGCTCAATACCCTGAGGAGGAGTAGAAGCGGGCGCGTGGTGGAAGGATCTTTGGCCTAGGTATGCACCACTTTCTGAGGATCGTCTCGGAAGTTTGAGGGGCCTCTGCGAACTAAACCCCCC